AATGCTAGGAGCCCTAATACATGGCATAAACAGAACACAAACCATAAGAACAATGCACAAACACCAGAAGAGAAGCTAGATAACTGGGAGCTCCTAAAATCAAACGCTTTATGCTTATGAAAACACTTTAACAAAAGAGTAAAGAGACAACCTACAGACTGGGAAAAAATTTTGGCTACGGCAAATCTGATCAGTGTCTAATCTCTTAATTTACAAGATACTGCAAAACCTTAATAACAAAAAGACAAATAACCCAATTAAAAAATGGACTAGGATATGAACAGACAATTCACCAAAGAAGACATTCAGGCGGCTAACAGACACATGACGAAATGCTCAGACGGCTAACAGACTCATTACGGAACTACAATGAGATACCATCTCACCCCAACAAGGCTAGTATTAATCCAAAACACATGGAACAATAAATGTTGGAAAGGTTGTGGAGAGACTAGAACACTTAGTCACTGCTGGTGGGAATGTAAAATGGTACAACCACTTTGGAAATCGATTTGGTGCTCCTTAAAAAGCTACAAATAGAAGTACCACAAGATCCAGCAATCGCACCCCTTGGAATATATCCTAGAGAAATAAGAGCCGTCACACGAATAGATATATGCACACCTATGTTCACTGCAGCACTGTTCATGATAGCAAAAAGATGAAAACAACCTAGATGCCCATCAACAGATGAATGGATAAACAAATACGGTATATTCACAAAATGGAATACTATGCAACGATAAAGAACAACGATGAATCCGTGAAACAAAACATGGAGGAATCTGGAAGGCATTATGTTAATTTAGTCAGTTGGAAAAGAACAAATATTATATACGACCACTATTATGAGAACTCAAGAAAAGGTTTAAACACAGAAGAAAACATTCTTTGATGGTTATGAGGGTTGGGAGGGAGGGAGGGGGTACTCACTAACTAGATAGTAGACAAGAATTATCTTAGGTGAAGGGAAGGCCAACACACACTACAGGTGAAGCCAGCACAACTGGACCAAACCAAAAGCTAAGAAGTTTCCTGAATACAACCAAACACTTCGAGGGACAGAATAGCAGGGGTAGGGGTCTGGGGACCATGCTTTCAGAGGAAATCTAGGTCAGTCAGTGTAACAAAGTTTTTTAAGAAAACGTTCTGCATCTCACTTTGGCAAGTGGCTTCTGGGGTCTTAAAAGCTAGCAAGCAGCCATCTAAGATGCATCAGTCAGTCCCAACCCACCTGGAGCAAAGGGGAATGAACAATACCAAAGACACAGGGAAAATATTAGCCCAAAAGACAGAAAGGGCCACATAAACCAGAAACTTCATCAGACTGAGACCAGAAGAGCGAGATGGAGCCTAGCTACTACCAATGACCACCCTCACAGGGAACACAACAGAGAGTCC